CAATGACAGGTACAATCCCTTTGCCACTTTTAAAGGATATTGGGGGTCAGAAGGAGCTGGAGCACACAGAGGAGGCAGTGTTGAGTTGTTGAAGAATCTGGGGTTTTTCCTCTGTCTTTTTACTTTTAGTGGTTTGTGCACATACATGCTTTACATTCTTCTTGAGTTTTCTTATCCCTATATAACATCATAAAGGCCTCAACATAATACTTTTTGTCCCATTTATCCATCCTGAAAGAACAAAACAAACAAAAAATAAAAACACCAAACTCATTGCCATCAAGTTGAATCATTGTAGGATAAATTTCCATTAACTGGCCATCTTTCCCATCCTCTGTTTTGCTTGTATTGTGGTCATGCAGTATCACAGAGAAAGACTAATTTCTTTTTCTTCATAGGGTCAGAACCAAACTTGGACCAATTCTTTAAAATACAATCAAAAGGTGAACATTCAGGAATGCTTTCAGAATTACCCATGATACCAACAAAACAGGGAAATAACAATGCCCTTAAAGCCCTGTTGTTTTTGTTGTTGTTGTTATGTGCCATCGAGTCAGACCGACTCATAGCAACCCCTCATTTGGTTTCTGAGGCGGTATCACTATGGGAGTAGATTGCCCAACCTTTCTTAAAGCTCTACATGTGCTAATTTTCAATACCAGGTGCTGGCTGGGCTGCAGAAATAATCCACAGGCTGCCTTGATGCAACCACCAAGGTTACAAACAGAATACAGAGCAGAATTGCACCATTACAACAGGCTTTGTTTAAGGTTGTTTAGAGTTTTTATTCACTGAGAAACAGGATGTCCTCCCAGGAACTCCATATAGCAACATTTCATCTCCTCAAATGAGTCAACATTGGGTCCTAGGCTGACCGGCCTCAGGGGCCAACAATGGTTGTCCCCTGAAGAAATCTTCTGGTACACCCTAGACTTTTGGTTTGATCCTCTGTGAGGTATGCTTCTAACACCAAGTGGCAACTCCCATCTGGCTCAGCAGAAATGTTGCCAGGAAGTCCACATCCGCTCTGTATGACTCCATTAAGCCAATAAATGAGACACTGATTGAGGAGAGAAAGGTTCCTTTATTTAGTTGCACAAGGAAAAGTACAGCTGGGGCTAAGTGCCTCCAAGACTGCTCGAAGGCAGCTTGGGAACAAATATGGCATCAATATATGTATGCACAGATTACACAGTAATATCTAGGCACTATTTAAGATCACAGTTCAGTTCCCCTTAAAGGTGGAAGTGGGAAACTTTATCTCCCTCTTAGAAAACAAGGGTAGCATGTGCATAACATAGCAACCAAATCTCTTGATTTGCAGTTGGGAACGTGGGTGCCCTGCTCAAAGATGGTGGCACACCTCAACACCAGAAAAACAAATAATCCAATTCAAAAATGGGCAAGGGACATGAATAGACACTTCACAAAAGATGATATGCTGACGGCCAACAAACACATGTAGAATTGCTCACGATCATTAGCCATTAGAGAGGTACAAATCAAAACAACGATGAGATATTTTCTCACCCCAGCAATAATAGCAAAGTTCAGCAGGACAGAAAATAACAAATGCTGGCGAGGTTGCGGAGAGATTGGAACTCTCATACACTGCTGGTGAGACTGTAAAATAGTACAACCATTGTGGAAAATGGTATGGCATTTCCCTTAATAAACTGAAAAAAGAAATACCATTTGAATCAACAATTGCATTACTAAGAATATATCCTAAAGAGGTGAGAGATGGGACATGAACAGACATATGCACACCCATGTCCATTGCAGCACAATTCACTATAGCAAAAAGATGGAAACAACCTAAATGCCCATAAATAGATGAATGGGTAATCCAATTATGAGTACATTCACACAATGAAATACTATGCTACATTAAAGAATAGTGAAGAATACATGAATCATTTCACAACATGGATGAATCTGGAGGACATTATGCTGAATGAAATAAGTCAATCGGAGAAGGACAAATATTGTATGAGCCCATTACTGTGAAAAGTCAAGCAAGGATTTGCTTAGGAAAGGGAACTTATTTTGTAGATTACTGGGGATGGGAGGGAAGGGAAGGAAAATTTCAAACTAGTTGGGGGCCACATGCTGAGTTGGGTAAGGAGAAGGATGGTATGGAAAGAGTCTGTGACCAGCATGATAACACTGGAGAAAGTGAAGATACTGAAATGTGCATATAAGATATAGATGACAGAGGCTAATACCAGTATATGCACAATACTACATTACCACTAACGTCAAACACCAGGTTGCAGATAAATATGTAGACAACTGAGAAGACCAGATGGGGTCAGTGAACAGGAGTGTACCCTAGACCAATGACAGATTTAGCTGAAGATAATCTTACATTGACACTAGTGATACAAAATAACCACAATCATTACAGAAGCAACAGAAGACAGAGTTGGAGTAATCCCTCAGAGACAACCAAACACTTTGGCAGAGAGAACCACTGGGCCTGTCGACTCAGGACCAGTCTCGGGGGATGTTGTTGTTGTTGTTATGTGCCGTCAAGTCGGACCCGACTCATAGTGACCCCTCCTTGGGTTTCTGAGGCAGTATCACTACGGAAGTAAAGTGTCTTATCTTCCTTCTGAGGAGTGGCTGGTGGGTTTGAATCACCAGCCTTCTGGTTAGCAGTCAAGTGCCTTAGGCACTATGCTACCAGAATTCAATTGGCACAACATAGTACATAAAACTCTTGTTCCACTACCTACTTTGTTGGGTCGTGACTGGGTCTTAAAAGCTTTCAAGCTGCCATCTAAGATGAAGCTAATGGTCTCCTCCCATCTAAAGCAAAGAAGAGTGAGGAAAATCAAAGGTATTTGGAAATAGTCCAAGGATATGATGGACCTTGAGACCAGAAGAACTAGATGGTGCCTGGCTACCAATGCCAACCACTTGGGAAAGGACTAGAACTGGAGATCCTGGATAGAGTGGGAGGAAAAATGTGGAACAAAATTCAATAACAACCAGAATTATTGGTTGGGTGGAGTCTGATGGGACTCCCAAGACTATGGCTCTGGGATAGGACTCACTCCCAAGGACTGGTTCTCAGCCCATCAGTAGAAAAACTTACATGCAGAACACCCAACCCAGAGCAATGCACCCACACACTCTATGGAGATACACCCCTTGGAGCAATTGGTCATGGGTCACCGAGGGGCAGCATTCACATGAAAGGAAAGCCAGACAGACAGGAATGCATAATTAACAAGGCATGGGAGGTGGTCACAGGGGAAGACAGGGGAGGAGAGTGGGTTAGGGTTGGAGATGGTAATCAGGGAGTGAAACCAAATGTACATGAACTGTTGAATGGAAAGCAAATTTTGCTCTAAATGTGCACCCAAAGCAAACTGAAACTGAACCAGTTTGAGCCCTTGGTCTTAGGTCTGATACTGCCTTTTCTTCCTTCCAGCTGTAAATGCAAGCACACTAAAGCTTGGAATACATCTAAAGTAGGGTGTATTCCTTGCCAAACTTAAGTGTTAAATTTACACTGTATTGTCACAGCTAAGAGGGACTGTAGAGATCATCTACCCTTCTTTTTCTATAAGAGGAAACTGAAGATATCATATTATGTGTTAGGGGCATAATTCAGGGTATAATCCAGGTGTATTAGTTGGGGTTCTCAAGGGAAATATAACCAATAAGAGATATATGCATACACACACAAACACACACACACAAAGGGAGAGAGAGGTTATAAATCAAAATTTGTAGGGTAGGCCAGACAGCTGGAAACTAAGGCAGGTGTTGATATTGCAGTTTTGAGACCAAAATCCATAACATAGGCTGTGAGGATGGAAACTCAGGAAGGAGTTGATGCTGCAGTCTTGAGGCAGATTTTCTTCTTTGGGAAACCACTGTTTTTTGCTCTTATGGCCTTCAACTGATTGGATAGGGCCCACCCACACCACATTAATCACATCTACAAAATAGTTTCACAGCAATACCTAGATTAGTATTTAATTAAATGAGGAAATACTGTAGTCTACCCAGAGACATTGATGATTCAGTGACAGAATTCTCACCTTCCATGAGAGAGACCTGGTTTGAGTCCAGTGCAAAGCACATCAAGTGCAGCCACCACCTCTCTATCAGTGGATGCTTGCATGATGCTATGATGTTGAAAAGGTTTTCGCAGAGCTTCCAGATTAAGATGGACTAAGAAGAAAGACTAACTACTTTTGGAAATCAGCCAGTGAAAACCTTGTGAATCACTCAAGACCAGGCAGCAGTTCTTTCCATTGTGCATGGGATCACCATGAGTCTGGGGCCAACTCAGCAGCAGCTAGCATAGCTTAGCCTGGCTGACACAGAAGACCAAACATCACACCCAGTCTTCTAGCTCTCAGCCTAGTACATTTTCTGCAGTCTTTGGAAAAGTAAAAGTTGATTCCCCACCTCCACTTTCCCTTGATAACAATTACAAAACTTACTATAGTACTGCATAAAGACAAGGACAATCAAAGGACTCTTCCTTGGCAAATAAATAAATGTATGTATCCATACCAGTGCCAACTTTATAGTAACAATGTTTGTTTCTTTGTTTTTTAAAACTTGATCCAATAAGAGATTCTTGGAGATCTGATACTTCAAACAGCTGGTAGCTCCCTTCTCTTTTATAGACACAGGCAAAACTAACCAAGAATGTCACCAACTGACAAAAACTGACTGGGTAGAATAACTAGAGGATAAGCTCTTAACCACTAAAGTTAGCACTTGCTGAGGTTCACCTACAAATTTTCAAATTTGTGTATTGAATTCCTGCTGCTAGAAGATTTCAGGTTTAAGAACATGTTGACCTTGGAAAAAGAATGATTGAGATTTTTTTTTTTTTTTTTTAACCATCTGCATCCAATTGCCATTGGCAACAAGAATTAGTAAAGTAAGCTTCCAGTTGTTTTAGATTAGAAACTTGGTTGTGCCACTGGGTTGAATGAGACTTGACTTTGTCATTCTTCTCTCTCCAGGGCATGTGCATATCACAGACTTCAACATCGCAGCAGTGCTGCCCAGGGAGATGCGGATCACCACCATGGCTGGCACCAAGCCTTACATGGGTATGGAATGTGTGGCCCACTGTGTTACTAAGAAAAAGACTTTTACTTTTTATTCCTATGTTGTTAGTGGTTGTCAAGTCAAATCAACCTCCAATTCATGATGACCCCATATAGACACTACTTATCTGTTGGGATTTGCAGCTAGAAGTAACAAGTTTGTATCAAACTTTACCCAGGGATTTTAGGATTTCATGAGTCTAAAGTAAATCTCAGGATTCTCTAGTTTAATAAGCACCCAAGGTGATCTTTACTCAAAAAAGCCTTAAACCACATTTTGAGAAATGCTTTTACAAATTTATTTTTAAAAATTCTGGTGAACATATACATAGCCAAAAATACACAATTTTAACAGTTTGTACTTGTATAATTTAGTGACCTTGGTTACATTCTTTAAGTTGTATTGCCATTCTCACGATCCTTTTTCAAATTATTCTCTCAATATTATCTGAAACTCACTGCCCCCTTAGCTTCCCATCCAACCTTTCAAGTTACCATTGTCACTTGGATCTCACACATATAATTATTTTAAAAGGCACAATGTTCAAAGCAGACATGCTTTACTAATTAAGATAAGTTATTTTAGTTGTTGCTATTCAAAGAAGACTTCAGGGGATAGTTTTGGTTAAAAGTTTAAAAACTGTGTCTGGACAATAGTTTAGGGGTGCATCAAGCCTCAAGGGCTCCAGAAAATCTGGATTCCACTGAAATTTTAATATTTTGTTCTGTGTTTTTACCCCTATTGATCAGGATTCTTTTATAGAATTGTTCTGGTTACCTAGTGCTTCTCTGACAAGAATATACCACAAATGGGATGGCCTTAACAAGCAGGAGTTTATTCTTAAAATTTGGAGGCTTTAAGTCCAAGTTCAAAGTGCCAGGCTCTAGGGGTTTGGTGAAAGCCCCTCAACCTTGGGGTCCAGCCCTGCTTCCTGCTCCCGGCCCACTGGAGCTAGAGGCGTTTCCTTCACTCAGACAGTTGCTGGCTGCTGAGGCTGAAAAACTCAAGGTTGACCAGTAAAAAGGCACAATCTCGATGTTACCAAACAACACAGCCAGCCATTAATTCAAGTCCATTGTAAGTCCCAAGGTCCACAGAGCATAGCAGGCAGCTGAATAACAACACGGCTACATGCGGGGTCCAAGTATGCCATAGGCTAGTGACCATTCCCAAAGCTGCTGCTTATATATGGGAAGCAGACCACATACCCAAAGGCAGCTACTCAGCTGCTCACAGTAGATTCCACCATGGAGTTGATTGCCAGTCTCATCATAGGGAATACTATATCCAGCTGCCCAGCCACTCAACCAGGCCCAGCCAAGTTGACACAAAGACATAACCATCACAAGAATCTTTGATCAAAATGTTTAGTAATGGTAGTCAGACACCATCCGATTCTTCCAGTCTCATGGCAAAGGAGGTAGTTATTAATCAAGGCACAGATTTGATTTCCTTCTCAGATTCCTAACATTCCTTCTAATTGTTTCAGGTTAATGGGGTCAATAGTACCTTGGATAGTTGCTTGGTAGCTTTTAAGACCCTAGTCACTGAACAGTGAATGAAGAGGTAGAACAGAAGTACTGAGAAATAATATTAGACCAATTGATTGTGATGTCTGTCAGAAGTATGACCCTAAACCTACAAAACAAGAAAATAAACCCCATGAGATGTTTAGTTGTACATAGCCAGCCTAAACAGCTACATTTTATGAGCTAATTGAGACAGCTACTTCTTTCATCCTAACAAAGAATGTTAATTAATTCAATTAATATCTATAATTGCCTTTGTGTGCTCAGCACTGTTTGAGGGACTGGTGCCCCAATATTGAGCAAGATAGACAAGGTATCAATCTCATAGAACTTGAATTCTAATGGGAGGAGGTAGTATGTAGAAGTGAACATATGACTAAGACATCGTAACTAGAAGGAGGGCAATAAATAACAAAAGTATCATTATAGCCATTATTAACATAATCACTCACTGAAGTCCAGTTGGATCCAATCTATAGCGATCCATCCCTCCTTGGGTTTCCAAGGCAGTATCACTAAAGAAGTAGATCACCCAATCTGCCTTCCAAGGAGTGACTGGTGGGTTTGAAGTGCCAGCCTTCTGGTTAGCAGTCAAATGCCTTAGCCACTACACCACCAGAGCTTCTTATTAACATAATACTGAATTATGTACATAGAGTTATAATGTTTACAAAGTCCCTTTCCAGTTAGGGTTTTAGTTTTAGCTTTCCTGCCACAATAACCCCATGAGTTTTCTTTTCTTAAAATGAAATTCAGTCTCAGAAAGGGTTAATGACTTTGTTATAATCTTCCTTATACTGAGATGAGGAACTATGTTGTGCCTGAAAATTAAAATTTTACCTGAGTAAAATGACACGGTTAGGTGCCATGATTATCAGCTAGGTCTTACAGCTAAATGTGTTAGCTATCTGAACAATCACCAATTAACTGCAAATTCTAGATTCACTTGCTGGAGACAGCCATCTCTACATAGACAAAATTCTAGCAGAACTAGCACTACCTCCCATCCATACCAGAAATATAAGGAGAGAACTGGTGCTTTGCAAGGACATACTGTATTTAAAAAGAAGGGCTTCTTCCACTCCTCTCCCTGTTCTTCCTGAAAGCAGGTGAGTCAGGTCTTAAAAGAATCATCTGTGAAGTGTAGAGATGATTGCAAGAAGCGACATCTGCATTTCATTCTTGGTTGGATTTCTGTTTAGTCTCTGCATTTCCTGACTGATCCTTGAGCTAACAGACTCTGAATTGACCAGAGAGGGTTAATGAGTTGAAGAACAAGGCTTGTTGGGGAACATAGCAGTGGAAGACAAAGATAGGAAGATAAAGACATGCAGCAGGAGATGGGAAGGATGTTGAACCTGTGCAGGGATATGGTCCAGCTTAATAAGGGTCCCTTTATGGGCAGAAGACATGAATAGACACTTCACCAAGGAGGATATTCAAGCGGCCAACAAACATATGAAGAAATGCTCACGATCATTAGCTATTGTTGTTGTTGTTGTTGTTATTTGCCGTCGAGTCGGCCCCGACTCATAGCGACCCCTCCTTGGGTTTCCAAGGCAGTATCACTACGGAAGT